CAGCAAGTGAATTACTAATGACCTGAAAAAATTATGACACTGAATGGGACGATTTGTTGACTAAGTGGTAGTACACAGACGACGTTGTCAAGGTCGTCCTATGATTGGTCAACTTTTCGCTTGAGATTCTAAATCATTACAACTTTTTCGCGCCCTGTCGCCTTTCAAAAAGCTTTCTTTGATGCATTACTCCGCCTAGAGTTGGTATTAACTGGACAGCAGACTTGACCCTTTCCTTCATTCCTCCCAATTGAAGTAGACGCGAGGACACACTAGATGATGCTGTCTAAATACCAGACTATTCTACAAGTCCATTTTCAACAGTTGCTCTGCTTCCGAATGGAGTAGGTTTTCTCAGTAGATTTCCATGCAGTCTACCCACCAAATAGGTAAATTCATCTTCCCCAAAGTCAACACAACCCTCCCATCCATTCTTCCCACCGTCGCTTCACCCACCCTCCAGCTTGGCACCCTGGGAATATATGACTCACAGCCTTGACTAGGCAACATTGCCTTTTTGCGTTGGCCCATGTTTTGTCCTACTGTGCCGCATTCTTGCTAACCCTCTCCCCGTCTGGGATAAGCAAACATTTAGCGGTACGGTCCTACGAGATGCAGAATGACGTTGTCATTTCACGAGGTAACGGTCATAGATGATGCTAATCTGATGGCACTGTTCAGAGGTACACTTCAGTAAAGGCATCTTCTCCTTATTAACGAACAGCTCACACGCTGCTTTGACGATCAACCTATTCGATGCACTAGGAAATGTACCAGATTGTTTGTCTCCACACTTGTGCCTCAGTAACCACATACGCCGTAGTGGCGTCCGCAACACACCACTCTTTCATTATTCAATCATTCGTCTGGTGCATCCTCGGCCAAACATCTGCAGCGCTTCTCCGATTGTGGACATTTCATGGACACGTAAACACAACCTGTGGACTGCCTAAAGCTCATCAGAGGTGGATGGATCACTCATTCTGAAAGGACGGCCAAGGCAAGACGACTGTACCAGACATTTACAGCGTGAAGAAAATAGCGTTTCTACCCTCTGTACCCTACCACAGCGTGTGTCAAGACACGCGAACCACTTCACCGCATTGTGGATGGAAAAGAAGCATCAAGAATGAAGAGAGGAATGAACTGCGGAAGCAAAGTGGTGAGATGTGAGAGGGAAGCCTGTGAGTTCGAACACCTTCTCACCCATCTTGATTCCAACCCCCCTCAGCCAAACGCACTGGAGAGTTGGAGTTCGGTAGCAAAGCTGTTTCCATTCTAATGAATGTCGAGCCAAGGGAGAGTGATCAATCAGTGATGTTCTACTGTAAGGATCTCAGTGCATTTTATGCAGCGTCCTCGAGTAAATTAATATCAGAAAGGTTGCTAGAATTTCTTTCGCTTTTAGCGTCCATCCATCCTTGGGGGTTACCTTTATATTCAAGTGACAACTGCCCTTATAAAAATATCATTGGCAAATATTTTTGTTGATATTTTTTTCCATTTAAATTGAAGTTCTTCTGCGACCTCCCCTATGATATTTTCACTTCTGGTACGGATCTCTGCCAATTTGGACCTCTGTATCAGCCGCTCTTCTTCCGGGTTAATCGACTGATTTATTTGTACAAGAAATTGACTGAAAAATTTTACATATGATCCACACCATGCTGCTGATGGCTCCTCCGAGCTACGCCTATTAGCATTGTCAAAGGCATGAACTCCAAAGGCACCGTATCCCAGACGCCACACCACTCGCCGTTAGTTTTGTTCTACCATTGCAAAATCCAACTCACAAAAAATTATAACTTTCCTTTGATTTATTCCTTTAAAACCTTTGAAATGCCTTCCATAAAAGGAGTATTTTAGGGTCTTTGTGATTTTCTCCTATTCTCCTATGCGGACAGAGGAGGCACTTGCGCCTAGGGACATACCATTCTGGCTGTGCCTGTGGCTTTCCAGACTTTCTCACAACCAACGGTAAATCTTCTGCCACACTAAAATGGCTCGCTTAGAAGGCAGCTCTGAACACTATGCGTCTTAAAAACCAGCCGTATCCTACAAGCACACCTTGTCACCTCACTGTAACTTAAAATTGCGCTCTTTTCGTGGGTATTTGTGACCTTTAACAAGGCGCTAAAGTGAGTTATTAAAAAAGCGCCTACAATTTTGTTTTGTCAAAAAAAAGAATAAGGAACATTTTGCTAATTTTTTCTGTATTATTTAATACGTCTTAATGGTGACTAATTACGGAGGAAAAATGGGTCAGGCTTTTATGCCCGTCATTTAATTAGTTCGTTTACACATTTCGTAATTTTCCCAATTGAGACACCCTCCCCTAAAAATTTTCCTATCAAAGTAATTTGGAAACATCAAGGGAATTTTCGTGCTTACAGTTGACTCCGTGGTGCCTTGTTTAAATACGTCGGTCTAAACAATGGTTTAGTACAATTTTTGCCACGCCTCATTGTGTCTAGCTGTTGGTGTAATTTGTGCAGAATTGTCAAATACATGCTATGGCTTGTTTGTATCTTTATTCCAATGTTTTGGGCCCTCTCACCCTCCCCACTGCATACGGTTTCACATTGTCCTCGTTACGAACCGATTTGTAGTGCGGAAGTTGGAGGAAGTGCAAAATGCAATAACAGAATAGCGCACTAATCAGAATCGTCTATCACTCAACAATTAGTCGTGTGTCACGTTGAGTAGAATAGACCCGCCGTTCTTGATTTAAAAAAATAACTACCTTACCATCACTAGGTGAGGTGTAACATGACGAGGGAGGCGATAAGAAGCACCGCTTTCTACCTCCACGCTTACGCCATCAATGCTCAGAAACATAGTTACAAATTAGGCCATCCTTGGCTCGTCCGCTCTTAAATCTTGATGATTTTCTAAAAATTTTCGTTTTATTTTGTATCCTCCTAAAATAAGAGGAGCTTTTTCACTTTCCAATCCAGCAACAAGGCATGCATTCCGCTGACTCACGCAGGAGCAGGGGAAAGTGGAACGTTTTTATAACCGGCTTTAACTTCTAATTTCTCAAGCAATACCGTGCAATTAATGTTCATCCAAATAGGTGCGTTTGGCATTTATGATACTTGAGAGAGTGGATTACATGAACACGAAAGTAGGAGAAATGCGAGTAGGTTAAGGGCTTTAAAAAAGCGTTCATTTTGTCTATGGATTGCAAGGTAGCTACAAAACATTTAATAAAAAGAAATATAATTGCAAAATTATGCAAATTTGATGATAAAGTTGATAGGTGGGTGAACGAACGAAGGTTGAGTGTAAGGAAGGATGGATACAATGTGGATGGACAAATTGATAAATGGATATTGAATTAAATCCATGGGTTTAAGGTGGATGTGTGGATGGATAAACCAATTTTTGGTGAATACCTCTTGGATAGATATTAAAATCGCTTGATAAAGCTTTGATTCAACTATGGGTTTTTTTTTCTGACGGGACACTCTATTTTATTTACAACCTTATACCCTCCTTCACATAAAAATTCACCAGTTTATCGCAACCACTTTTCCAGTACAAACACCAAATTCCACTTGTCAAAATTTGGCAAAGGACATAACTGATCTTTGACCCCTTCATGTGAATATTTTCCTTTTTTCCCAAAATGTGTTTCACAAATATGACAAATTATCGCAAAATTTTTCAGTTAGAAACAGTAGCGTATAGGCAGCACATTCCTGCTAAAAACATGTAGCATCGTAATTTTTAAAAATAAAAAAGTTATCGTGAAGTTTCTAGGGTTTTTCGTCGCCCCAAATATTGTGCCTCGCTGCGCTCCGCTATTATCGATTTTTTGGTGGTCCGCCCAGTGGCTCTGCGCTAACTGGTGAATAAGTTGGCCTAGTGTCTTCTTGTCTGTCTATTTGATCCTCTATTTAGCCAGTACAACAGAGTTAGGCACCTAACGCCTTTTTTCAGACGTTTTTTCCTCTCATCACTTTTACACACTGTTCAACCAACCCTCTCGGTGGCGGTACCCAGCCACGGCAGCTTTCATGTGTGAGGTGAATGGATGATTGACACGTCACACAAATAAATATTTACAGAGCTATTATCAGTACTCCTTCCGCCCTACATAAATATTGTGGTCAATCTCGGTTCAAATGATCTGTGGGCCTGGTTGTTCTTTTTAGCCTTCAATGCTCTTCTGATATGTGATTTGATCGCATGTGGTTAAATGGATGACCCCCTCTCTTTTCCGCCCGTGAATGATCTACCGAGGTGATTGGACTGGGAAAGGGGGGAGAAGGGACGCGGGACGAGGTAGACAGGCATTGTGGCCCAGTTGTGTGTTTATCCAAACATTAGCCTGGGGGAGGAATGATGGGAAGAAGAGGCCATTCTTTAGCAAAATTTCTCACAGGAAACCGATGAGTCACCGGCCAATTTAGCTTCGGCTAAAATATTTCCCTACCCCCTTGAAGGAGGGAGGGGAGGCATCGGAGGATATGGCAGAGGAAGCTTAACTACTGAAGACGACAGAAGTGTCAAGCATGAGTCATAGAAGTGGCACCAGACGGCTTGAAGGCTTTGCCACTCCGACTACATCAATCAACATCCTCGTCTCTAATTTGGCATTAAATTTGTAAAATGATTTAAAATTTACTCATTTCCGAGACTTTTTGATTGTTTCAAAACCCGAGAATTTTGTTTACCACCATTCAAAAGACTGGTTAACGGAGGATTTGTCCCTTTTCAGGGGTCATCTTGCTGTCACGCTAACTAATCAGAGTAATGACTCACTAAAAAGCTTGACACCTTCTTCTTGAGGGGGATATTGATGTACTGTAGTTTTGTGATTGCTGAACAAAAGAACGAGAATGGCGAATGATGTCGACGAGGAAGGGGAAGGAGGCAAAAGATGCATTTTGAATGCCTAAACAAGAGGAGGTGGTAGTCACAAATGCGAGCCATCATGGCGTGCCATAGCTCTTCCTCAAAGAAAAGTGTGGCTCACGATTTCTCCCGCCCTGGAGAGGCGAGAGTCGGGGGTGGGGCGAGGAGAGTAGTTGAGGCGCGGGTACATCAAATGCGCTCATCTGATTGGTTCCCTTTGGAGGTCCAGATCAAAGCGCCGACAGTGGGAGTGAGTTACACAGGCGGCTTCCAAGCCGAATAAATAATGAAAGCTGACCTACCTAAGTGAATTAGCCAACAAAATGACGTGGAAAAAGCAGGAATTTTCGAGGGAGAGGATCGAGGGCGAAAGGGGGTGGGTGGGAGGACCACAAGAATGCATAACACTTGGTCCCGATCTGGGTTTGTAAGCGCTCCTTTATAAATTCGGATCGTTGTTAAGTAGACTGATACGTCATTTGTCAATTTCTTGCTTTGTATAGGCACGACGTAAACCTTTATTCAGATAAGTTAAGCAAATGTTAAACAGGAAGGGGGGATGGAAGGGCGGAGGGAGGGAGGAGAAAAGTTTGCTTACCAGATGTTGGATTTGGAGGTGCTCTTCTTATTTACATAGCTAAGCGGAGCGACACCTTACAAAGTCAAGGTCGTATCGAGTTATACGTGTCTGGACGTGTTGAGTCCTGTCAAGCTACCTCCACAAACAACGGCAGAAGGCAATTGTCAGCTGAAAAGCCTTAACAACCACGTGATAGTGCAAGGTACAGTGATGCGTCATTCGGTGACAGCAAGTAAACTATAAACGCTTTGTAGGCTGTCAAATTATTCGCAAATTCTTGATATACCTTCCATTTGCGACGTCACAAAAGGTAGGGCAAGGGACAGCAAATAAGAATGAAATGGAAGCCAAGGGGATTGAATATCACGAGACAAAGGGAACAACAAAAGACGTGACACCTCCTGACGATTGCTATGCGATGTGAACGGCAATGATAGGATGGATCCGGGATGGGTGGATCGATGAATGGATGGATACGAGATTAATGGGTGAATAGGTGGATAGTAGATGGATAGACGGGTGAATGGATATGAGATGGATGGATGAATAAGTGAATGGATGGAAGACGGATTGAGAAATGAGTGGGTGAATGAATAAAAGTTTGCATAAAAGGAGGATGAACAAATGGTCACGAATGGATGGCTGGATGGATCCAGGATGGATGGATAGGGGATGCATGGATGGAAGGATACAGGATGGATGGACGGATACAGGTTGGATAGATGGATATAGGATGGATGGGTGAATGGATACGGGATGGATGGATAGAGGATGGATGCAGGATGAATGGAAACAGGATGGATGGATGCAGGATGGATGCGAGATGGATGTAGTGGGGATGTGTGAATCAATGGGTGTTATTTTGCAGTGTCTGCACGCAAAACTGTGCAATGTCCAATCTAAACAACAACGTAAACACCAACGCCTTGTTTATTCCCCACCTTTGACACAATTAATCATCCCCTCACACACACCCACGTTGTCGTGGACGCTGTGCATGATTAATACCTCGTCTTCCTATCGTCTCTCAATATGGATGCCAAATCATGAAGCCTTGCACATCGCGACCTCCTACAACTTCAAGGTGGAATTGGTGCCTTGGAGAGGAAGAAAGTAATGAAGGAAATCTGAAGACACGTAGTTTTTTTTTTTCTGGACGACGCCCGTACATCCCTCCAGGGGTAAGTACGTCAGCCGTCAGCTTACCTTCCAGAATGAATACCATCCAGCCTTCCATAGCATGTGGAGGTAAATCGAAGTAGCAATTGGCGTATTTCTTGATCGCCTTCCTTTACTTCTCTTACCTTCCCCCCTTTCGGTTTGCGGAAGTGGATTGAAGTGCTCCTAGCTTGGAGAAGTAGGCAGAGAGCGCGGACACTGGAGGTGGGTTCACAAACAACTGCGCGGCCACACAGTAGGATGCTCCACCACCTTACCTACCACCGGCTACCAGGCGGCTCTCATCCCTCCCAGAGGCATGACCGAGACCCAGGACAGTTAGAGGCAAAGGGAAGCGATGAAATGATTGGAGAGGAGTAAATCAACAATGCTACCAGCACTACCACTTCCAGAGCAGACGATTCGAAGGGAGAGACGTCATGGCTGCCGCCAACCTCTGAACGTTACATCCACCCGCAGTCGAAAAGCGGGTCAACCACTTCCGCCTAGCGAATCCCCCCGGGACGCGCATCTGACCCCCTTTCGAGGCAAAGAGGGAACACGCCCCCACCTCCTCTTCTCTCTGCTCACCTGATGGATCAACCGACGTCCGCGTCCGATGCAGGATGCCGGATCGCACCTCCGTCACCGAAACCACGACAGAGTACCACCAGTCTAGCCAAACTTTACCAACTACCCTCTTCGCAGTGCTACACCATATCAGAATCCGACCTGGTAGTGGTGGAAGACCAGCCGTCCTCCTATCGTTGAATGCGTCTTCGTGACACTACAAGCGGACAATTCGCGAAGGATCCCCTTGACAAATTTCAAGATTTCGCACTGAAGCAAAATCACAGACACATTTGACAACACCCCAGGCCACCGAGACATTATTTGACCAACCTGACTGGGCAGCCTAGGCTAGTAAAGGGGACAAAATCAGGTGCCATTGGATGCTTTCCAAAAAAAAGGAGGAAGGGACGTAGAAAGAGAGAAGAAAGTAGAAATTCGACACGAGTTTGTTGATTGTGTAAGCGAGACGCGACAAGACGTAGGGGATGTGGGGCCCTGGAGACGAGAGCGCAGTGAGTACCATTGGGGGGTAGGGGAGTTTAGTCCACCAGACCGATAGGTTAGCCGAGCGATAGATGACCTGTGACAACAAATCAGACGAATAACTACAGAGTTGGTGGCGGTGACAGATGAGTTGGGAAATGCGAGTCATTCAGTCACGATGGAAAAGTCGTTTTGTCAGTTGTAAAATCAGACGCAGGACGGGTGTGGACGGGGGCTCGTTACCATGGCAGAACAATTGTACAGAGTACGTGCTGAGACGGAAGCGATGTTTAGCTCTCCTCCGCGGCTGCGACAGCAGCATCACCGTTGACATGCACGTCCGCACTGTTGGATTGAAGTGACTGAACTGAGTCAATTCCGAGATTGGCAAGCTTTTCCACTAGACCCAGCTCCATCTTAGACTCCTCTTCTAACTTCTAAGGAAGGAAGGAAGGGGATGTCAGGGACCCTAGCGAAGAGCTTATCGCGTTGGTGGTAAAGGCATAGACTCACTTCAGGCGTAGAGGCAACGTTCTCCTTTTCCCCTTCCATGAATGCTTCCGGCTCCTCGAGAAACTCTTCCTCACCGATATTCTCCTGAAGTCCATTCGAGGATGGAGCAATTTCTACGAGAGGCTCATTTGATGACTCTGCACCGGTCACTGGGATGGTAGTGCCTTGATCAATCATTGGGACCTCCTCCGACTGAGCTTCAGCATTCCCAGTCGGATGCTTTTCTTGCTGGAAAATGTCAGAGCACCAACACATGGAGAGATTTGAACAGAACAAAGAGAAGTTGGGCCATAAAGCTGGGTATTCCTACCTTCTCCTCTTGACCAGGTTCTAGAGCAGGCTGATCCGCTGTTGCAGCCTCAACAGGTATTTCCTCCTGGACGGTCGCCTTAAACGTCTTCGTTTTCTTGAAAGAAATCTTCTTTTGAATCCAATGCATCGGGTTGGACTTTTTATGGGCCGACTAGATCACAGAAAGGGCAAAATTTGGCACCAACTACCCACCAGTCAAGAAGTTAAAAAAAAATAGACGAAAAGACGCACTTTTGGCTCCTCCTGCTCGTCGACTGCAGGAAGCGTGGCGACAGTCACATTAACTGTCGAACAGTCCCCATTCCGTTCGTTTGTAACCACAGCTCCATCAATCGGAGGAATGCTCTCACCGTTCCCACTCTCTTCAGCCTCCTTCAACTGCGTAATCACTCCCTCCGGTTCGGCAGGTGTCTGGAGAGATCAATCAAGAGCGTGGGAGTAAATCGGTAACCAAAACACTTCATCCCTCGGAGAGGAAGGGAAAAAATGGAGAAGGGAAAGAAAGAGTATCAAACTAACCACTTTCTGAGCTTCCGGAGTAATAACAACCTTGGAGGATCTGCCTCCCATTGTGTGTGTGAGAGACAAAAAAAGCACAAAGAATTCGCAAACGCGGCAGACAAACGGAGGCCACAAAGAATGCGAGGACAACAGAAGGTAGTGAATAAGGCAGTCCATACCCGTAGATGTAGGCGAGGCCTGACTCACTCGCCCTCTTATTGGTCCATTCAAAGTGAACTTCAGGTGCGCGGACAGACAGGTTGTGCAGTGGCATGACGCATTCACCGGTGCAGCGACCAATCCCTCCCCGAGTTGACATCACTCTTGTATACACACGCACGCGTGCGTGCGTGTGTAGCTTCGGCCGAGTGGTGGTAGTTATGACTGGCCTGGGGTGGGGATGGTGAGACAGACAGGCAGACGGGAATTCTACAGCTCCCTCCATTGGTTTGGGCGTGTCCGGGCTGTCTTCAATCCCACAGAGCTGGGGAGAGGGGAAAAAGCGACGACCGGGTTAATTTGTCTGACTGGCATAGCGACACTTCAACACTGGAGACTGTTTTCATCACATCTAGGAGCACTTATCATTCCCCTGTTGAAGGGGTGCCAAACTATCAACGACCATGTGGAAGGTCTGCTTGGTAGTGGGTCCTGCCAGGAAGGTACGGACATTGCCTCGATTTCTCACCGATTCGATATGCCTCTCCCCGGTCATGTCAGAGTCGCCAGCGCCTAGTCTTCCTTGTCACGTTGCCGGAGCAAGATAGCTGGTGTGCTCTTTGGTCAACTTTCCCCTGAAGCCTCTATTTTTCTACGTTGTCTGTGAGGCTCTGTCAGGTAGTTAAAACATCGGATGCGTTTTTTTTTGGGTACACCTGTCTGCCACGACGTGTTGTTGTCACTTGTGGGGACTTGGCAAACGCCTTCGACTGTTTACGCGCTTGGATGAGTGTGCATTGGCCTGGACTGCCATCACTAGGGTTACACATGATCACCCACCTCTGCTTACCTTTCCGATCACTTGGTCTCCACCCTGATGCGCTAAAGTGGCGGTCGATCCTGTCAGCTAGGGAGTTGCAAAGACTTTTGCGTTGCTATTGGCACTGTCATACACAACGTGCATGATGATAAGACGACTCGTTTACATCCCCACATTATTTGGATGGCCGGGGGAGGCCGGTGGGAGTTGCTAAGCTAGCGCGTTCCATCTGTCATGCATTAGCAGATGACAATAGTCTTCACAAGCTAGCGACCGACCGAAAGACTGACTTATGGCCCTTTTATGCGTCAACGACAGATGATCCACTCACAATCCTCCCAACACTCCAAAGGCAGAGGTCTAGAAAACGTATGCCCTTTTTACGAGGGGGTGCAAGACTCATCACTGCTTCACAGCCTATCTGTGATGCCCTAGTGATACCTCCCGAGCCCTATGGCGTGAATACCCGACACTCAAATCGAAAGGTAGGGCGCGGTTGCAAAGAAGGTGGTTTAGACCAAATAAAGTGGTTGATTTCGAACACCACACTTCTAAGACATGTCTAGGTTGAAAATCCTCCGCTGAGTGTGGGTGTAGGGGGTGGATATTGAAGGCCGATCCACCTAAGGGTGCGTAAAAAACCTTCTTTTCAAGTTTATCAGAATCATCCTGGTCTTAAGATTCGCTCTATATTCTTACGAGGCAAGAAGGGTGACTGAAACAAGAGCCCCTGTTGCGTTAGTGACGGATTCAGGGGACCTACACCCCCTCAAATTCTCATCTCACTCATGCCTTAGTGACTCAATTACAAGAATTTAAAGATCGTGGGGATGAAAAGAGCACTAAGAAGGTGAAATAGATGTGTATTTCTCGTTATCATAAAGTGAAATCTAAAAGTTGTCAAAAATCACGGAGAAGAACCTATAACAGCTAAAAATTTTGAATTTTATGGTTAACCTACTTTTAAAAATTAAGTAGCAGATGATTTACATGCACACATGAGTTGCTTGGAGGGGCTAATAAAACATAAAAGACCATCGTGGCCCGACAGAATAATTTGGCAATAATTTGCTAGACGCATGTCAAAATTCAGGATGGAGTTTGGTCTAACCACAATTGTGCCTCCACCCAATTGTTCTACAAAATTGTGTAGTGATATATCCCTTCAGTATCTTCCTCGTTATTACGTACTAAAAAATGAAAAATGGGGACAGGACATAACACAAAAATAAACTTAAGGAAATAAAGAACAAGCAAAAAATTTAAAAGTTTCTAAACGATCAATCTTAGACGCGTTGAGTAGCGTTCATTTCTAATGAACAATTCCGGTGTAAAATGATGCAGCACAGTGGACGAAGATCGACTGTTCGGCGACTGTGGAAAGTCTTGCATGTGCTGGTGGAAGAATTAGGTGGATTTATGCCCAACTCTACGACTACAGTTGCGAGTTTACCAATGTTCTACTCTATACATATTAAGTAGTATAGTGCTGAGGTGTCGTGATGAACTGCGCTGTGCATCTGAAACAGGACTGATTTTCTGCATTAGAACAATTTAAAAGTAATTTATCAGGCGCATGGCAGGATTCGGGGCAATCGATGGCTTAATTGAACCTACAAAAGTACTTCCATTTGATTGGTCCATTTGCGGTCGCCTAGGGTCAACCACAAACGAAATCGCAGTCTTCGGTCAAATGCAGGCATTTAACGTCTTGATAGACTGGTACGTTGTATTGGTCTTGCCTTTTTATGTCTATAATCTATAAAAAAGGTGTTTACATTGAGGTGTATTAAGCTGATGTGTTAGCCTCCTTGATTTTTGAGTTTTAAAGATTTCTTGATGGGGATGTAGGAGAGATTTCCGAAATTTGCTAGCAGTGATGTAGTCGAAGTATATCAAGGTGATCCCTTTCGAGGTGAGGAACTGCATGAAAGCGATGGTTAGTCCAGGTGACATCTCAAAAATGACCCCCGTTGCTGTCTACTAAAACTCACCAGGCGTTTGTCTCCCCCGCTGAAAATAACATTTTGGTGGTAAAACTGTGCCGGTCACATTTTCCCACCTATCGGACCGCCTTATGAGGTGGAAAAGGGGAGGGAGGTACTGCTTCACCCCAACTCCACACCTCCAATCTCCAAATGTGGCTTGGGATAGGACGGATTTTACAGGCTCGCTTCTCGTCGGAAGAGATGGGCGGGGCGTTTTGTCAACGCGGCACCATTCAAAAACTGATCCACATTGTTTTTTAGATACCTCCGAAATGGATGGAATTGGCCTTGCGATTTGTTTCTTCATCTTGATGTCTTCTGTCGCCAATGCTGAACCGTTCAATCTGACACCGGGAGAGCGTCAGTGGTTGATAAAATTTCATCGCCAGCATCGTTCCAAGGTTGATCCACCAGCTGCGAATATGATGTTCTTGGTATGAAAATTGTCCATATTCAACTCGGAATTGATTCTAGAAATATTCCATCGAAGTGGAGCATGAGGCAGCCTCAAAGTTACTGTCATGCGATGCAAAGAACATCAGTAAAATGGAGATGAAGGGATACAACTGGAACCTGGCATTGAGCACGAAGGGTAGGGCGAGTGTGGAAGAACTGGCGACGGCGTGGGGTCATCAAAAAGCCCATTTTAACGCAAGCAAAGATGGAAGTTGCATGAATTGTGGAGAGTATAAAAAGGTGAGAAAAAAACGTCCACGTTGGATGTATCGGACCCGCATCCGTCCATCCATTCATTTATCCGTCCGTATCCGCAAAAACCTCCTCTTCCTTTAATTCGGTAGATGGTTTGGGCAAATAGTCGGAATATGGGGTGTGCAAAGGCAGGCTGCAATAATTCAAGTGCTCTCCTCTGCCTCTACTCTCCTGGGTAAGGCTTTTCCACAATTTTATCTTGATTGATGGCTAATTTTGTAGTGTCAATTAGAAGTTGCTTTCAAGCTTGACACATGGACTTACGATTGGTAGTATAGCACTTCCCAAACCCATTCCTTAGCCAAATTAATCAAGTGTGCCCCTTTTAGTGGCAACTGGTCAACGGAACAGCCTTATCTTAAAGGCATTAGCTGTTCCGGCTGCAAAGGCAACGTGACCTGCACTCAAAATCAATGCGATCCTGAAGGTACTTCAAAGTCCAAGCTCGGAACTATCTTCTGGGGCATAATGGCCGCCATCTTTTACACATTCTTTGAGTGACAACAGGTTGACTACTCCAAAACTGTGACCTCCCACACCAACAGGTGCTACTGACATGAATTCAGTAGCACCGCAGCCGTTACTAAATGTTAAAATTACTTCGAAATTTGTTCAAGCAAGTTTCTCTAGTTTTATTTCTGGGATGTTGACCTTATTATAATCACACGCAGCCTCAACGACCTTCCAACTAATTTCCACCAACTTCTAACGTCGCTTTTGCTCATAATCTTTTAAGTAGACACGATTACTTCGAAAAGATAAAAGTCAAAATTAGAAATTGGCAGAGGGGCATTATTTTCTACCCCCGAATTCGAATACAAAGTAAGCGTTGTCATTGCTGCGCCTCCTCCACGTTTAAAAAAATATTGGCCAAGAGCAGTCTTAAAAGCACAACGAGAGAAAAGAGATAGTATTCTGTCCTCAACAATGCTACTCATAGATATGAGTAGCACTTTCCGAACCAACTACGGAGGACCTGGAGCGCTCAGCCGTGAAGGTATGAGTGGCACCCTGACTGAGTCAGGAAATCAGACAAATTGTGGGTTGCACAAAGTCCTGACGACCTTCCCCATTTCTCTCAATGGAGAGCGTTTGAAGTGGCCTCAAACGAAACTGGTGTTAAGGAATGCTTTTTCAAGGAGGAGGGACTACATCTTCCTTGTCAACTCGGCCCTTCGTCATACTCCATGGATGGTAGGGAAGTAAACACACCACTAGAGGGGTCTGTTGACGTGTCTACTGCGCCTTGGCATCGGTAGGAAACCTGCACAGTTCAACAGTTTCCGGAGAGAAGTCGCGTGTCTAGACCTCGCCAATGTGTAAGGGACGAGGATCTGGAATATCGTGGACTCGCCTGATGAAATCCACCTGCAAAAACTTAACCTCCCTTTGACGTGTTAGTCAAAAGTTTACAGGAGCGGCTGCTATGTCGCGGATCGAAAACCATCCACCAATCGGATAGTCACTGAGAGGCGCACGACCGTCCTTGAAGGCTGTCCACCCACTAGTCGAGGGATCTACTGGAAGCCTTCTACTGGCAGATGCGCATCAGCATCCGGTTGGCAAGTTGATTCAAGGCGGACGGAGTCAGCCACACCCGTCACTTGCCACGACAGCCTCCTCTGCGTGTGTAACGACCAAAACCGCACGACTTCAAAAATTGCCGACGGTGGAATAACCCAAAGAGTACAAATAACAAAGATAATGAACCACCCAAAGCGGAGCTCCCCCCCCCCCCCACCCACACAACAACACTCTCGCACAGAGTATATCATCATCATCTTTCAGCTGGTTTTAGCTTTTTACACAAAAAGAGCAAACAGCAGTTTTTGGAGGGAAAGTGGAGCGAGGGGCCGACGGGCGAAAGGGAATTTGGACAGGGGAAGCGCAGGCGGACTAGACAGGATAGGATGGAGCAGGAAGGGAGGGGGGAAGGAAGATTGAGAGATGTTTGACTTTGTCTCTCCTGCTGTAGTGGCCCGGCGAAAGCGCGAGAGACAGAATCAGGAGATGGTTCAGTGCGTGCAGGAAAGGAAGGTGGAGTTCACTCGTGAGTGCGTCGTATTTTACAAAAAAAAGCACACCAACGAGGCGTAAAAGACCGTGAGGGAGGGGAGGGAGTTTCGACATCGGGCTTGGGAAATTGGACGCAATAGAAGGTTAAACAGGGAGGAGGACAGAGCAGGGGAATGGAACAAATCACGAGGCATCTCTGCGACGCTGTGCGGTCATTGCGATGGCACACTGAAAAGGGAAAACGGGGGGAACACACACACAGGGGTAAAAGAAGACCGACAACACAGCCTCCTGTGAATGTCTAAAGGTCAAGGTCATTGGAATTACTCACCCGCCCATGTTGATGCTGAAAGGAAAGATAGAGAATAAGTTATGGAATGCTTGAAGACAATCTGCTCCTCCTCCTTCAGCATAGACACCTTCCTAGATGAATTACCAACAACCAGTGGTGTGGCGACTTCTACGTCGCATTATTCCAGCTACCCCTTCCACGACAAGGTGGACACCTAAGAGACTAAACGCTTGGAAGTGTTCAATGAATTTCCAACAAAGAGGCATCCCTCCCTTCAAAAATAATTAAAACCCAGAGACTAGGCTAACAATCCACAAAGTGTTTCTGGACTATTGAGAGTGCAGGGAGGAATTTTGCAACTTATCTTCATCGACCTCCAGTACAGCGTCGTAACCGTGGTGTGTGGATAAGAAATGGAAAGTCTCGAGACTATAAAACGAGGCGGTTGCAGGAATGACTCAACGCAGCAAAGATGAGGGGGGTAAGTCCTACTCCTTGTCTAGGTTGCCGACCCATGCTCTGTTCTCCCGAACTCCCCTTTGGAAATCAAAGGACCCGGAGGTCGTCTTCTCCACCCAATACTCAAGGGTGGGGAGCAATAGCCACCATTTTTGAAATGCTTAACTTGGGGAAGGAGAACCACCACAAATTTCTAAAGAGCCACCTACTCAATCGAAAATTGACGGAGCGAGAGATTCTAACAATTTTAACGATACTTTCTGGCGTTTGAAAGCCTTCCTACTCACCCGATAGTCGAGAGAGGGAGACCTGTTAAACAGATTCTTAGCATGACATTCCAACCAATGAGGTTAGTGGAAGGGCTAACTCACCAGTCCGAAACCTCGGGGTGACTAGAGCAGATGCTTTCGATCAAGGCGCGTCTAAAAAGGGCGATTAGAGACATCACCAACAGTCTCCTGTCCGATTGACACAAAGGGGAAGAGAAGAAAGGCACGGGAAGACTCACTTGGTGACCAAACCACCGGGAGGATAGTTGGGGAGAGATCGATTTTCTATCACGTTGCTGATGGAAGAGGAGGTAAATCGGTCGGTGTCCTTGTACATCTCGATGACGTCTGATTGACAGGTTGAATAGAAAGGCAAAGAAGGGAAAAATGTGAAAAAGAAAAAAGAAAGGGGAGGCCACCAAACATCAGTCTAAACCCACTCTCTTCAAAGCCTACTTTTAGTCAATTGCGTAGGTACAGCAACACCACCAATTTGGCCTCCTAAAAACGCAATTTGTTGAGCGCTTCATTTTTTTGTGTGGTGAGACTACGAGAAAGTGACGTAATTTTGGAGGTACTTTGAGGCGTAGAGGGCTACAGCAGCAGAAGAATAAATAACTCACTTTCGATCATCTCACGGATGGCGGTATTGAGCTCCTTGTCCAGTTTGGTCATCTCAGGGTCCGGAGTGGGCATGCTGTCTAGACCCACTATCAGCATGGTCATATTGTCTCTGCTACCCTGCAAAAACAAATGAAAAGGCGGGTCGATGGCAGGGGGATGCATTCAAGAGGGAGTAGACAATCAGGAATCATCTATCCATCGACACCAAAGATTCATCCATTCGCTAATTCAAACACCCACTTGCGATGTGGATTCCGATTCACTCTAGCCACCCACCCCGGATCCCTCCCCATCCATCAGCTTGCCTGTAACTCTATCCTGATTCCATTTCATCAAGTTTGGCGTAAAGGAGAATTGGATCTTGCGCCTCTCTGTTCATCCACAAGTAACAAGTTCGAAGAGAAAAATGCACCCCCATGGACTGAATGTTTTGCTGTTCACCGTCGAACTGACCTATTCAACTCCTCAGGCCAACAACAGTGTAAATTGAGTCTATTTCCAACAACACAACGCGATGCGACCGGTTATTATGCACCGTCACATGAGTGTGACGCAGGTGACGGAGGCATTAATACACACCCTTTAAACGGTGAAAACGGTGTGATGAAATGAAACGCCTCCTTCATGGTAAAAGTTTTCGAAAATGGCAATTTTTTGCCGGCCTACGGAGACGTCATTATATTACCAGCCTCAGAGACAGTTCATTCAGAAGATTTTATCCATACACATAAAAAAGACACACACGGACAAGGGGGATGCAGTCGTGACAGTAGACGACAAGACAAGTATGACCCCTAACTAATCATTACGGCCGGCACACGTGTCATAGGGGCAGGCAACAGTGACAGGCAAAGCGACAACGGTGATGGGAGATTCTGTCACCTAGCAATGGGACATTTGAATGTCGCAAACACTTCGAAATACGCCTGACAGTGACAACTCCAACCGTGAGGATTTCGTTTCCAATCCGACAATAGCTTTGGATGACCGTCATTTATTTCAGGCAAATGTATTCAAGAGACACTGAACGCAACAAGACACCACTTCAGATCTGATTGCTCTAGAATGGTTCAGTGGTACTGGTAACCTTTCAGGCAAGGATGTGGCAGCCTAGAAGCTGTTTGGTTAGACAAATCATAGAACCGCACCACTGACTCAACAGGGGTGGTAGAACGGTATAAAGGCGCTGTGTCTGAATCCTGGGTCGCACATACAACAGCACGTGCACTCAGTCTCGCTTTGTCGATACCCTGCGTCTGAAGTAAGTCGACGGCCTTTCCACTCACATGCACTCCAAGCGCAGAAATAAAACGTGGGCGGATGGCACTGTGAAAATCTGAAGGGTTGGTAACACGTGCAGGACAAACGAAAAGTACATTTTTCAGTGGTTTGAGTGAAAAAAAAAGGCCATTCTCGCAGGTGTATTTTCATCTAAACACGACCTAGTCACGCGTCAAGGCGGTAGAGGGTTAGTGGGGAGGAGTTAAGCTGGCTGAAAACCGCCAGAGTGAAAGCGAGGAGTGGATACACCCATCTGGCCACTCCCTGAGTCATCGATGCACACACTCAACTGCCTCATTACTTCCAAATACGCCTTTTTTAACGCTGTACCGCTCATATTATGCAGTCCCTTCATTTTTGAGCCATTTGTCGACTTCAGCTCAGGTCATTCAGCTGTCTATCCACCATTGTGACAGTTATCCATCGCGGATTCACCCAAATATGGGCGCCTCCATCCACTTGTCGCTAACCCATCTCCACCTAAGGTCAATCCATTGACCCCATAGCACGCAAAGCAAGTATACAGAATGACTAATCCGTTGCGTTCTATAGTGGAAGCCAAACGTGAGACTAATGTGGAAGCTGTGGATATGGTTGAGGAAATACCGGCTACCTGATCGCCTAATTTAACCAGTAGGACATGCGCCTTCAAGAGTGAGACTCAGACGAGGGAGACTTGAGCTGAGACCAAGCAGGCTACGGATACTGCAGCTGTAGTTGCAGATAAGTGACAGACTCATCCATACGTCCACCTCAGGTTAGTCTATCGCCTCAACCATCCAGACCCGTTCATTCAACTCTCCAATTGATTTATTCACCCATTCATCTGTCAAGTGAGATCAGGGATCCACCTGTACTTCCACTCATTCAAAGGGCCAAAGAGAAAGCTGAATGAGTATTCAAAGACCCCCTACTTGTGGGATTAGAGCATGAGTCACTCAACCATCCAATTTAGTCAGAATGGTCCTTCAAGGGGCACTCAAATCATGGGAGACTGGAGGAGAGGGGAGATTCACTCACTTTGAAGAGGGCAGTATCGATGGTCTCCTCGCAGGCTTCGGAGAGGGAGCAGGAACACTTGAGCCGATGGATGAGGTACTCACAGAGTTGGTCATTGCTGAAGACATCCCAGACACCGTCACAGGCCAGCACAAGCATCTCGTCCTCCGCTTTTACTCGTGCAATCGCAGTGACGTCGGGCTCAGGCGAGACCAATTGATCGGCCGGAGATTGGCCCTTTATCTGCTTGTAGTCAAAGTCGCCCAATGCACTAAAAATGTTAACGAAATGGGGTTAGATGGCTGCTGATGCCCAGTGATTAATGTCAGTGGCAAACAGGCGCGGAAAGCATTCGAAGCTCAAAACTGGTTACCAGCATGAGGGAAAGGGGGGGGGGAGATAACAGCTGAAGATGACAGAAGTCAAAGTGAGAGCTATGCAAGAGGGTGGCATTTATATTCCATCTTCTGTGATTTAACCCCTGCGCAAGGGATGTCCCGGTTCTGCGTAGAAGGAACACACTCCTAACACGCCACCTTCCTGACCTAAGATAAAATTGCCTAAGGATTGACATCCGAAAGCAGACGAATTCGACACAAGTTCATCAGAAAAGCCACGAGAAGACCAAAACGCTTCAGCTTCCCATGATAACGTCTAAATGGATTGACATCCGGCATTCATGGTGAAATTCGTGGAGACTCACGTCAGAAGTGTTAACCTGTAACATGGTGTGGAAAGAGGTAAGACCTGTGCTGAATGAATTACACAACAATTAAGTGATGCGTCCGAAGATTTCCGTCTTCCTTAACCAATGCGACAAGCAAATGACTTTGTTTGGTTTTTTTGTGGCAAATAAAAAGTTTCGTGGAATATCTTCCATTGAAGTAATAGCTGACAAAAGCCGTAAATTTGTTGCGAATTCTGCGTCGTAGAAAAAGATTTATTTTTCATCACTAGAAGCAAAAAGAAGTTGGCCTTAGCCACCTCTGCTTCATTTTCCAACTGTCTACACGATTCAGCATGCGGTCATGTGATTGTCGAATGCCAAAAAAGATGATAATAACCACTCGAAGAAATAGGGGGAGAAAAGAGAGGGATGTGGACGAGGCAGTATCTTTCTCTCCCTCCCACCTATCCTAAAGTTGGATGTGAGGTTACGCATAGTTCTCAGCAGAAAGTGCTTTTGTGCATCGTTCGAGAGGCCTTTTATCAAACCGACGGATCACATCCGCCACCATTAATTCCCGGTGAGTAATCCCGTCTCCAGTTCACCACACAAATCATGCACAGTCACGAGGAGATGAGATGGCCCGTGATCCACATCTATGGAGGTGGCTAGTGCCAACACTGGTTACCCTAGAGTTGAGACACAAAAGCCATCTCTCATTTAACACAAATTAGTCACCGAAAAGCCTAATAGCCAAACCACCTTATATTGATACAGGTAAAAGTGGCGCACAGCAAGTGGCGAGACTGTGATGCAAAGCCTACCCCCATCCGTTAAAACGTGGCAGATGACAACCATTTGCGTGGCAGCTTTCACCACGTGCACAGATGGTGTAAGTGTAAACATATCGTTGCGTTATCGTTCATGTCAAGCATTACTAAAAGCTGTTAATGACGCATCAGTTGATAAGTACTTTGTCGTGCGAGCAGTGCCGCGTAACTTCTTCGTTCTAATCAGGAAGAGTGCCCCACTGCCAGAATCCCATCACCTTCTCCAACTACTATATAATTAACTTTCCGGAGAAAGAAAAACGCTCCTGCAGCACCCTCGTACTTGGTCTGCAAAGTGGACAAACACCGTTTGTAGTTATCAGGCTCAACCGGCATTTTGCGACATAAGGAAACGACAATAATGAGAGGAAATTAGTAGGCTACAACGAAGCAAATTGTGCCAATTGGGTCACACTTATTCGTTGCCAAGCCCGTACATAAATAATCGCATGCATTTTACAAGCCTCTGCGAGTGATGACAAGTTATAGCACTGACCCATACCAAAAAATCACATCAACTTTTTGGTCGCCTGATAGTATATACAAATGCCACAATAACGCGTGACTGGATAAGATTCAAGTGACAATGAAAGGCAGGAGAGGAATGAATCAGGGGGGTTCTTTTAGCTCCAAAAGGCATGACTGTATGTGCTCGGTGCTGAACATGGCTAAGTCTTAATGTGTATATCTAACAAATCTCAAGAAAATGCGACGAAAATCTGCTCGGTTATCTTGCAGCGGACGCAGAAACTCAGATACCGCCTTGTAACTAAACGCCAGCAAATTTGGTACGCACATACCTGAAGTGGCGTGAGAGAATTTGCGACACATAGGACACCAGAGGCGCTCACAAGCTCAAAATTTAGAGTTTACAGAAGTGTTAATCAGATAAATTTTTGCCGCAGGCGAAAGCGCCAATCACGAGCGAGTGCATCACCAGATGAATAGGCACCAGCTTAGAGGCCGTCCATGACCAGATGCAAAGTAAGCGACAAAAATCACTGACCTCGAACGGATCTACCAACAAACAGTAGTAGAATTGGTCACACTTTTGTGTAAATTTAATGATGAGGGTGATTTCTAAATCACTGAAGAATTGTCCCACAATCAACATCCAATTCGCTTGCTGACACCATCTGACCCCAACGTAATAAACATTGGTGATTGTCCAACTCCTAAAAACCGGATTCTAAAGCACCAATACACATAGAAGCCATAATTTACTTCCTAATTGGCCACAATTTCGAGTGTTTTAGCCAATTAGGGTCCTTGCGTACACATAAACCGAAATGTAGTGCCAATTTAAAGTACCTAGCACCCCTCCCACACACTCCTAGAGTTTTTTATGCGTACATGTGTGCCAATCTCGCTTAAGCCGTGTGTGAACATTCGGTCCACTGCTAAATGAGCTGGAGTGTGGGCGTCATGTGATGCACCCACAGGAGCACATAATCCAATCCTCCACCCCACGGATCCAACGCGTAACTAATAATACACCTGCTTCCCCAGCGCACAGATGCAGCACAAATGGCACGAAGAGACAAGTGGGCTATTGCTAGACTTTTCCGATGGCTCAGAGACGAGACACCAAGCCATATAAACTATGCGTGGATGAATAGCACACTGCCGTGACGTAACTGATAGTGGTATATACATGTAGAGACAAACAGTCACACTAAGAAATACGCACGCAGTTAATATCTCACGCACAAACACACACCCCAGAAATGGATACTAGGGTTTGTGATTTCGCGCATTTCTTGAAATTTAAACGACAGAAGTAGACTCACCGTGAGACGGCAAGCGAGCCATTGACTCGAGAGAGGATGACATGGCCACCGGCGTCAGTGATTCGTCTGTGTTCCTTCGGATTAATGGGTTTGTGATCCTCGGTGCTGAATGCAACCTTGCCACTTTTAATGAGGACACCCCGGGAGTCACCACAGTTGGCAATGAAGTAGTGTGTCGGTGTGACGAACGCTACAACCGATGTGGAACCCGATTTCTCCTGAGGGCTGTCCTTGAGGATGAATTCATCGAAGGCCATGAACCCAGCAACGATACCCCCCTTTATTTCCTCAATGGCTCCATGCTTCTCAGTAGAAGCAATTAGCTCCTTGAAAATCGGTGTGTTTAGGATGTGGTCAAGAAGGTACTTGGAACACAACTCCGAGACACGGGAGCCCGCGTGACCGTCGAAGACGCCGAAGTAGCACCAAGTCTTCAGCTCCCCAGGAAGAGAGGTCTTGGCTACATGGGCGTCTTCCATTTCCATTCGCCAGCCTTGCATACTGGAGACGCCATAGGCAACATTATTACCCTTTCCCGAGTCGGAGGATTTCCGGGTATTCGGCTTGTCCAAAAAGGCTCCCATTTGTTAAATAACCTTCTAAACATCAGAATCAGCAGGTTATGACTTCGGAGAAATCAATAAAAACAGGCTCACAAAAAACGAAATGGGAAAAGCAAATGATAAGGGGGGTTAAAGCAAGTGCGCTAAATGGCGAAAACAATGAGTGAATAACTTGCACAAAATTATGTCAGATGTAGAACAATAAAAAGGGAGGCATTTCACAAAAGCGTGCATCAAGCACCAATTGGCTGATAAGGAAAATTAGTGGACCACTAATTGGAAAATATGCACACTAACAGAAGCACAAAAAATTCAGTAATAAAAAACAACATTAACGAAAACTTCGATGCATCTTAGCAAAGAATTGTAGAAAGGACGATAAATTTATAAAGAACACAAGGTCAAATACAGAAAAACGCATGAGACTGTAGGCACTTTGATGGGTAGAACACACAATCCCGGACATGTCGAAAAAGTGAGGCTGTCAAACAAGGTAACCGTACCTATAGGTCCAAATTTGGCTAATCAACATGCGCGCCCAAATTAAAACGAGATTATTTGAAGCGAAATCAGTCGATGTAAAGTGATATTTAATTGATAAATAGTCAAGTTTATGCATGGAAATATAGCAAATTCACCGTAAAACACAAGTGAGGTATCTGCTGCTACTAAATGTCTTCAGATTGAGTTTGAAGACTTGTAAAAAAGTTGTTTAAATGAATAAAACTGAAAGATTTATTACCGGATAAAGAAATTATCGGAGCTCTTAGAAGGGGTTTGCAAACAACTTTGAAAACGCCAAAATAATTTAAATCAACTTTGCAATTAAACTAGGTTAAGTAAACGCGGCAAAATTTTGGGCTTTCAGAAAATGTATATCGGGAGTATCTTCACAGATATTTTACTCGCTTAACACTGCCGTATGAAGTGCAGCGTGTAAAAGAAAGAACCTGCTTTGATTCCTGCAATAGCTGGCTATGAAACTGGGTAGATATGCACTTATTCTAATGTCCCTAATATCCATTAAATGCAAAAATATGTACTAAACGGACGGCATTGTATACGATTAAAAGGGCAATGTTCAGCTCCAAAGCTTACTGATAGGAAAATGTCCTCCCACTAAGAGATCTACAATAATTAATGGTTTTAAGGGCAGATAACCAGGACAGGTAGTTTTCTTAATGGGTTTTCATGGTCTTGATTTGGGAGTAAATGCTCTTCGGCTAAGTGAAACACAGCTCCAGTGTTGAGTAAAGCGTCACCTAGCTGTGATACTTGATTGCATCATTGTCCATCTTACTGGTAAGTGAACCAAAAATATTTACAGGTACAGATTTAAACAAATTTCTCGACTTCGATGTAGCTCCTCTGCATTCACGGTATTGTTTTTGACCTTAATCCTTTGAAAAGTAAAGCCTCTTTCTCTTAACTTGATTTGCACGACTATATTGCTTTAAATGTTCAGGAACATGCGTATTTACCGTACCCATCTATGAGGAACTTTTGTTCTTCACATTTGCTTGGTCAAAAAAGAGGTGCTGTAGATGTGTTAAAAGTTTTCGCTATTCAGCGAATTTTCATCTGAAGCTGCTTTTTGAATGTTTTCATGTGCTTACCGACTTGCTAGTCTGACACGCACACAGTGCAGAAGTTTTGTAGTTAGCTTACTTTTGACACGGAATGAATGATTAGGAGGGGGTGCAAACTTACTTTTCCAAATTCCGATGAGGACATCCCGACGTCGGAATCCCGCGTGAGATATTTTTTTAAACCCTTTTTTAAATGGCTTTAAATGCTGTTGAGGAATGGGGTCGTCACATCGTCAAGCGCGAACTGCTGAGGTTCCGGGAAGGCAAAGATCTAACGTGGTCAGGTACGCAATTTAATCGCACATCTCTCAAATCCTCGGTAACAACAAATTTTTGACTGGGCCGTAAATATTCTCCCACTCTACCTGATCAGATTTCACACGCATTGGCACCATCATTCTAACATTTGAGCAGATAGAAGTTGTGTTCATTTGCAGCGATTTGGGTATATGTTGCAGTGGAGGGACGATACACGTATTTAAGTAGTCGGTCGTGCTTACTTGCTGCGCAGTTGTTCCTAGCAGACCCCACCGAGAAAAATGAGCCCTAACCTGCTACAAACGATCCTCTTTCTTTGTCTTATAATTGGAGTTTTAGCTGGTAAGTTAAAGACACTTATTTCTAGGATAATCCTTTTATTACTTAAAAACTTAAAAGTCCACTCAAAATTCTGTTCTCTGATGATATTGCGAAATTTTAATTTTTAGCAAGACCAAGGGAGAAGTTTGTGAGGGGTGATACAGGTAAAAGTTTAGGCTAGGTTTTCTGTTCACAAAATACTTTTTTAAATGCTCTAAACCAAAATTATTACTCTGATGCGATGTATTCTTATTTCAGCGAACACTACAGTTGCTACCCCCGAAAAAGGCGAGCAGAAATTTTAAAAGAAGCAAAAAATACTTTTAAAATCTATTTTGTTAAAAGATTTTGACTAACAATGCAAAATTTCCAAAAACGTGAAGAGGAGGTAAAAACGACAGGTCCCGCGGCAACAACTGCAAGTAAGTTCACGACCTCGGACCCCTTTAATGTCTGCAAATGTCCAGCCATTCTTTTTTTTGTAGAGCTTGTTACGGAACCCTCTGGTAAAAGCGCCATTCATTCCTTTTTCAATGAGCCTCAAAATTTACACAATTGAATTCTTCTTTGATAACGTGAAGAAATGGCTCGCGAGTTCTGCGTTTAGACAGTAACTTCTAATTAAGGCAAATTAAAATTTTAAAACTCCGACTTCTAAATCGCTCACTTTGATTTCTAGCATCAACCTCAACTACACCGGCCCAGACACCATTGAATTCTGGTAAAAGTTTTGGCTAAGTTTAGTAATATCGTAGATGCACTCAAACAAGCGTAACCTATTCCGGTTCTACGGCCTTATTGGCAGAACTTACACAAAAAAACTCAAATTTATTAATTTTTTTTAAAATTATATGAGCACTTTTTTGCATTTTTGTTTGGTTGCAAATTTTAGTGAAAATGGAGGATGGATCATCATCGAATAGTAGGTTATGTGCTAAAAGTATAGAAAATGCGCCCCAATTTGTCTATTTTAAAATAATTTTTATTTATAGCTATATTAAGTGCAGCCTTGTTGACAGGTAAAATATTTATACTTTTTAAGTTTTCACTGGAGAGGTGAGTTTTGTTAACTGGTTAATATTAACCAGTGCGTAAAGTTATTTCATAATTGCGCAGATGATAAAGCTTGTTGCAATGGATGAAATGTAGTACTTTTTAGAAAGAGTGCCTATACTTTTGGTTTTTTCTTTAAACCTAGCTATTTTCATTGCTAAACAGGCACTAATTTTTAGGTCTCGTTGCGCCTTCTTACTGGGTGTTGTAAAGAAGGATGACAGCAACTCTGTATCTTTTGTATTCACTGATCGAAAATTGTATATCAGTGTTACATCGAATAAAGATGTTCTCGCATTACAAAAAAATATGCTCTTTTGTAAGTGGGTTTTGTGGTCACATGCACCTTCTTAAGATCCTCAGTATCAAACCACCTTACACATTATACCGCTCCTTCAAAGAGGATTATTTTCGTGATTACCCACACCAACGATTGCACCAACTCCTTTGGTCACCTCATTTATCACTTACGTACTTGTCGTACCCACGAAGAGCCATAATATTCACGCGCCTGTTTGATAAATTAAGGCCTGAATGTGACTGTCGCCAACAGATTGTGCAGGGCACATACCGGTAATAAAAACAAACTAATTTAACAGGTTCCCTTATTTTTTAGCAGTCACAGTGTTGTCATCGTAAAATTCATTTGGCAATATCCATCCTCTAAAAAGGTAAACTCACCGACAACATCAATTTATACCTACAAACAAGGACCAAAGTCCAATTGTAGCGTAAATCGAAGCCTTTGAAAGGACGTTGCAGCACTTGAAAAAAAATGGTCTAATTTTGTGGATCTGGGTTGTCTAAATGGTGTAGGTATTCAGCTGCCTCATCAAAGAAAGTTGCTGGAGGGAGTAACGTGCTGAGTGGAGCTTTCAGACAACTTTCCAATGTGGTTGCAACGCTTCGTCTTGTGCTGGGCTTCGACAGCTCTCGGTGATCTGCCGGAAGCGGTTCTGTCAGGAAAAAGTCATGGAGTAAAGCCTGAAGTAAAAAAATGTTAAAGTAATTTAATAAATGTCTTCTTGTGTTTTAAGACTTTTTTTGCATCACTCCCACCCTTCAGTAAACTATTAATTTTAATAATCATTTTTTGGGAAAATATTGTCAGGAAAACTACAAACAACCACAAAATTTACATGTTTAGGGAGTTTTGGGGAGAAATTAGGCACATGAGTGTTAGAAGCGAAGTTTTTAAGTGAAAAATACATTCGAAAATAAACATGCCGCTGCATATTTTTTACAACGATTCTACTGAAATGTAATAAGTAAAAATTGTTTGAAATGTTTAATAAAGTGCTATCAACACGTTTTAAAAGGAAGGCAAAAACGTCTCTAAGCTATTTAGATACGTGGAATTGACCTGGCGATCTTGCGAAATTACACCCTCTTCCTCAAAAGGTCTTTTTCCTCTTAATTAGAGGAAACGTTGGGGAAGAGACATTTAATAGGAGCGGGAAGATGGGGGCTTCTTGAGGCCACGACTATGCGTGCTGTAAACTGGAGACGTTTAACATTCAAAGGGGGATTGATACTTGTTTAAGACTGAAGAAGCACAAACTGGAGTGTGAGGCAGAGAATGTGATCTGTCTGTTTGATGGAATACTGCTCGAACAGCGAGTGGATGTACCCTCCGTTAAAATCCGGTGAGGATTAGCGGGTTTAACAAGCAGGGAATTGCGTGTCACCTACACTAAAATACGATCTAATATACAGAACTCTCATACGGCAAATCCTTCCAGTGGGAGGTTTTCATGCCGCACTTTAGGATGGGGTATCGTGGGGAGGGGAGAAGAGCGCAATCCCATACTCCTGACAACGCCTATTTGCCAAGCCTTAGAACTAAATAGTCTTAAAATTACAAGCAAAGTGGATTTTGCGATTGGGCTACAATGAGAAGATAGCAAAAGAGATAACCAGGAGCTCGGATTGAATAGGCAAAAAAGTATTTTTTTTTTAAAAGAAACGACGCTGAGCAGTACAATCCAAACCCAATCAGTAAAATGCGTAATTTTTTGTAATAGAAAGAAATTAAACTACCTTTTGTGCCGAGATTCGGCTACTTTGATCATAACACAAAAACTTCTTTAGTAGATTGAGAGCCAACGGTGAGGCAGACAATACGACATCCTCTAACGCCACGGGCTCGCAAGGTGTGAAGCTGATTTTATTGTAATCTGGTAGTTGAGTTAAACCCTACAAAACAAAAAAGAGGGTTATTCCCTTACAAAAGACGTACTGGCCAGTTTTTTTCAGTAGGCGTCCCCAAAACCCGAATAACAAACCACAACTGTTCTATATCATTATCACCCTAATAAGTGGGGTGAGAAACTTTCGACAAGAAATTACAGGAAATAATGGCGAGTTATTAAGTAATTCACCAAGGATGCATCCCACGGCCCATAAATCGACGCTCTCAGTGTACCGCTTTGCACCATAGAGAAGTTCTGGAGCTCGATACCACCTAGAGATGTTACGTTAAAGTGCCTGCAACAAACCGAGTGGCAACTTGATGACTGTAAAGTTTGTTCTCGCTGCTTAAAAATAATCGCGCTAATCCAAAATCAGCTATTTTTAAGACGCCCTTACTGTCAATTAAGAGGTTAGCAGGTTTGAGATCCTATCGACAAAACGGTTGGAAAAAATGATACACCCACTCGATGCATTATACTGTTTGAGTGTAGAAAGCCAACTCCACTAAGAAGCATAACCATGTAGGCTTTTATTTTTCCCTCGCATAAGGGCGATTCGATAGAACGTAGAATTTCACTCAAATCTGTGACCATGTAGTCAAAAACAAGTGTAAAGCCCATTCCGTGAGGAAATACCTCACGAAGTCGAACAATATTTGGATGGGAAGACATTAACTGCAAGGCCTTAATTTCTCTAAGGAACTCCATTTAGTAAAAGAGGAAAAGTACCTTATGGCTGTATGCGGAATACCTTCTTCCAGCTTACGGAGAGGAATCTTTTTAAGAGCAACTAGTTCACCCGACTACATACAATAGCATAAGTATTTCTAAATACGTCTTTATGTCTGCCTTTGAGGACGACTCCATGTGCTCCCTCGCCAATCAGTGAAACGACTGCATACTTATCCATTTAAAAGGTTGACAATTTGCATTAATAACAGCCCAAAGATAATTGGAAAACTAAAACAATAAAAAATTAAGCGCAAAACAGATGGCAAGTTGCTGAACAAGCATCCTTTTCTCCTAGCAATTGCAATTAAATTATGTTCACTGAAAAATTTCAAATGTTGTACAAAAAGAAAAATATGTGCTTTGGCTGCTATTTTGTACTGCTTGCGAAACAAAATCTTGCGTCTTAAGTAGTGAATTTCTGGAATAGCACATGATCTTGCTTTTTAACGCTTTGTAAGTTTGTTTTGCTGAATCTCGTTTCAAATCATACATGGACTTTGTCGGCAAGTTCATTGTGTACTAGCCAATCGGAGTGGCATCGTGGGCGCACGCTTCAGTTGGTCGAGACGATGGCATCTAGTTTAGCGCTTGCTAGTCGGAAGTACCTAGCTAGGGTCTGCTCAGTCCATTCGTTTCGGCGTAACATTTGCACAACATCGCCATGTTATTACTACATTGAGGGTGCTCATGAACCTTTTGCCCCAATTCCCGATCGTTTTCCCCGGTGGGCAACTTCTGGCGAGGACGCTTTCAGCCACTTGAAAGATGGAGCTAAAGTTTTTGTTCATGGAGGTGCCGCCACTCCTTCTCTTCTCGTCAAAGAACTTCATCAATACGTCATGAGTAGAGGGATTAAAGATGTTCAATTGCTCCATATTCATACCGAAGGTCCATTCCCGTTTAACGACCCGGAATGTGTTGGTCATTTTCGAACTAATTCTCTTTTTACCGGTACGTCCTATTCCTGACAATAATCAAGATTCCAAACAGGTAGCAACTGCCGTCAGGCAATTAATGAGGGTCGGGCTGATTTCACGCCGATATTTCTCAGTGAAATTCCTCTTCTCTTTCGTCGCAAACACGTGGAATTAGATCTTGCTATTGTTAGCATTACGCCTCCAGATCGACACGGATTTTGCTCCCTTGGACCCAGTGTAGACGTAACCCGATCTGCCATTCAGAATGCCAAATTCATTGTCGGTGTGTTTCTCATCGTTTTAGTTTACTTTTTGTGCTTAGGCCAAGTTAATCCCCATATGCCACTAACTCGTGGTGATGCTAGCATTCATGTGAGCAATATCGGTGTTCTTATGCATGGACCACAACCTCTGCATGAGACGAAGGCACGAAAAATCACTGATGTTGAACAGCAAATTGGAAAGTATATTGCTGAAGAGCTAGTTCCTGACGGCGCTACAATGCAGATGGGTAAATATAAGTCCCTTAAAGAGTGTCTCTTGCTCCACCTAGCTTTTCTTTTACCCATTTCTCTTCCGTATTTTCAGGCATTGGATCAATTCCGGATGCGGTTTTGTCTCAACTAACTAATCACCAACACCTCGGTGTACATACGGAGATGTTCTCCGACCGACTTGTTGACTTAGTGAAACTCGGTGTGATCACGAATTCCATGAAGAAGATGCGCCCTGGAAAGATTGTCACCAGCTTTGTTATCGGTACTAAGAAGTGTTTTGATTTCCTCGACAACAATCCTTTTGTGGATATGTGCGATATTGCCTGGGTCAACTCACCTGTCATTATCGCTCAAAATCCCCGCCCAATGGCGATTAACTCGTGCATTGAGGTCGACCTCACCGGCCAGGTGGTGTCTGATTCTATTGGATCGCGAATTTATTCTGGTAAGATCTTAGAATCCTGTTCTATCCGTATCTTCTCAGGCGTCGGTGGTCAGGTGGACTTTATTCGAGGTGCGGCGATATCGACTGATGGGGAGGGTAAACCCATCATCGCATTGCCATCGGTTACCGCGAAAGGGGAGTCGAAATTTGTACCCTACTTGAAGGAGGGCGGCGGAATCGTCACAACTCGCGCACATGTTCACTACATCGTGACGGAGTACGGAATTGCCTACCTGTTCGGACGCAATCTACGTCAGAGGGCCCACGCACTAATTAAAATAGCACATCCTGACCATCGGTTTGTGTTCTTATTCAACTACTTTATTTCCTTTTCCGTGGGTTTTTTTCACTTTCTCCCTTTTTTTAAATTCTAGGGAGTCTTTAGAAAAGGCGGCTTTCGAACGACTCAAGGTAATGCCTTCACCCGATTAAAAAGGAGAACCGGTTACATTTGACTGGCTGTCGGAGATTCCTTACCTCTCCAGTCCTCAATAAGCGCCATATTTTGTAAGAATCGTAAACCTTTTTTGGCTTTTCCACGTCTTTTTGTGCTTAGTGTAATAGTACCCAAATAAGTCCTCTTTTTGACTTCTTGATAGGGCTGCTCTTTTGTTCGCTAAAGTTTATGAGCAATTGAGATCGATTGGCCAGGAAAGTGGTATCTACTCTGATCTCTGCATCTATTCCGTTTAATGCCAATCAGTATTATATGGAGAAGATTTGGTGCTTAAGGCTTTTGGAAGGCAAAGTGGGTGTTTTGAAGTGTGTGAGTGGTAGAAGAGACTTGTGCCACAATCGTGGGGCTTTATTTGCAGACATTGCTTTTAATGAACATTTAAGGAGACCGTAAAAGTTTGTGTGCTCCTCAGCAGTCTGTGGGAACTTGTGCATGCATACATTGTAAAGCCTAGGTGCACCTCCATCTGTTGACTTGTTTTTGTTTTCAACTCTCGTATCATAAAGTCTTGGTAAATATGCCCCGCTTTGGAAGACACGGAATCTTCCCGCAAAACTGTTTGCGTATCCATTGGAGAGGGCTCTCGGTAGGAGATTGTTTTGATAAGCAATAGCTTTGGCCTTCTAACTTTCCGCATGTGAATGAAAGTACTACCGGTTACTCACCCACAATACCACATTCACTTCACACCTTTAAGGTATGTACCACGCCATCCCTGCCATAATGTACTTGCTTTATTTTTGTGTGTGTGTGCGCTGGCGCCTGTTTGGCGAGTTTGATCTGTGCAAAAAATGCATGCACCAACGGTACTGCAGCTTGCGTGACTGTCATTTGGCGGAATGGCTTTTGATTGTCCCCCCGACCGAGGCTGTTACAATTAACAATTAGGCAGTCCACCTTTTTGTCGACGTGCATTCGACGCCTTGGGCCGTCCGTTCCGCACTCTGGGGTATTCTTAATTCTGACACGACTTTTCGGCCACCTTCGATGGCGTCCGGATATGAGGCATACTACTAATTTACATTTGCATTGATAAGTCTCGCGAGGTTTTTCTGCCTCCTTCACTCGATGTGTTGGTTCTACGTCCATTTGCAAGTAGTACAGATAGGTAGTATATTTACTACATTTAGATGAAAAATTTCTTAAATAGCCACTGAAACAACCCCCTTTCTTCATGTCCACGCAAGTATTAGGTGAATAAAATAGAGGATGGAAATCCCGGCAGCACTGCAGGGAGGCTCCAAGGCCCCTCCTGCTCGTGCAGTACTAACTAATAGGAGAAGGATTTCAGTGGAAGCACCCAATCACTGTGTGGTGGAGGAGTTTGGCGCCTCCGAATGTACATATTCTGGCAAATGCCGTCATTTGAATGGCTTCCGCTTAGCCAATAAAAATAACGTGAGGCCCTGCATCCACCTATCAAATTTCGGCTCTGGTAATCTTCCAAGCCAGCGCACTATAAATAAAAGCCGGGAGGGAGATTTACGTGCATAAACAGTAAGTGGACACAACGGGTGTCCACTCAGGCATTCACACAGTAAGATTGTGAGAATTCACGAATGACAACCAATAATTAACAAACCGTTGAGAAAGCACGCGATCGAATGGAATGAGTATCTCTATTTTTGAAAAAAAAGTGATAAACAATTAGTCAGAAGGAAGGAATCGTACAAATGAACCGCGATTAATAAAATGGCTAAAGTCCAAAGGATTGCGCTGTTCGCCCCGCTTGAATGCCCTCAATGAAGTCGCGATATGAGACTCGTCCATCGCCATCGCTGTCAAATAACCTAAACGCAAAGCGCAGACAACCTCGCAAAACTCGACAATTTGCTCTTCCAACCAAATCTTTTAGAGTGATAAAGTTGCTGCCTCTGGAGTCAAGTGCCTGAAATAGAGCTAGATATTCTTCATCCCTCGGGCCCTCCCGAGAATCCAGATTGCAGCTCAATTCGTCCTTTACAAAGTCTATAATTTTGGGCAGAGAAACACCCACTGGAGTGCCGGCTGATTTGACGTCGAAAGCGTCGCAAATTTGTGTCAGTAGACGCTGGGATGGTCGCTGACCGAAGAGTTCGATGAAGAACACCTCCAGGTCGTCATGGTTGAGGTAGTGCTTGCCGTCGGCAGCGTTGTCAAAGGCATGTTTCACAGTGGCGAGGCAGAAGAGCATCCGTCTAGCTAATGTGGGTGGAAGGTCACGGGGTGCGTAATCGTTTCCTAGATCATATACAAATGTACAACAGTAAGAATATCGACCCACCGGCTATCCCTGGGCTGATTGGTCGATCAGAATGGATTTGAAAGTTGTGCTAGTCAGCAAAGTTTGAACGCATTCTTCCGAAATGAAGCATTGGTGCGCGGACTCTGATTTGCCATGGTTTCAAAAGTTTTGTCTTGCAATAGGAAGTAGAAACAATATTGATTTGGGCAATTTTTTTGAAATGGTAAAGCAAACAGTAGCATGCGTCTTATATTGAATTTATGGCATTGATTTTTAGATCTTTTGTACTTGATATAACGCAATATTCCTTCAGAGATGTCATCTAAGTAGCAGCGGTACATTACCACATTCTAAAGCGTACAGACTTTTGAATATCTTTTCGATAACAGTTCTGCCGCCGTGCTGCATTGGTTCCGCGTTATTGGTCTCAAAACTACCGATGCTTTGTGCTCACCTGCCCTCCGGAAGCTGTGACGCCTACATAGTCACTTTATAGTTGTAATTTGGTTATTTGTCACCAAAACGCGTATTCGAGCAAGTGCGTATCACAGCACTTCGCCGAGGAAGAGCGAAGCCATGTTATGGTCCTTTATCTCCTGGCGGATGCTAGCTCATTGTATATCACTTATTGAGTCGCATATGAGTGCAAGTCAGTACGAAGTGCCTAAAAAGGCAATGTTCTAAAAACCAGTAAGTTAAAGAAGAGAAGGAACTACTAAAGCTTAATTCATGGCCTTATTTTAAATTGATGCTAATGCATGCTAAAAAAGCAGGCTATTCAACACAAATTGTTGCTTTAATAAGCGTTTAAAAATTGCTTTAACAGCATGTACCATTAGGTCCACGCCTTATCTTCCGTAATATTTTTGTTTGAGTTATCCACAAAGCTTAATTTGAAGCCTTACCACACTTTTCGAATTTCATGGCCTCGGTTGAGCGTTTGCTGCAAGAGAAAGGTGTCTTTTCTCCAGACGAAATAGAATCTAAGAGAATGGTTGTGTCCGAATTTTGCCATCTTTTGGAAAAATCGAAACAGCTTTTTAATGGCCTGAGGTAGGTCTCCCTTGCGGTATTAGCGCCGAATCTTTTTTGAAAATAGTTCTTGTTCTGGATTATTGCGTGCAGAATCCTTTTCTCTTCCCGGATTTTTTTTCACTGATTATTGGGATATTTTCAGGCCTAAATTTAGTTCTTTTGGGGTCAACATTTCTGTTCAACTTTTCCCAACATTTTACGTTTATTTAGTGCGTTTTTATGCTCTCCTGAATTGTGTTGCAATAATTTCCTTGTTATTTGCTTTTGATGTCCCTTAAGGGACCTCCCACAGTATGGGCACAAACAATGGCAGACCTATTTCGGTCGGACTTTTGATGTTTATACAAAGCTTTGGAAATTCCAACGCTTGCATCGTGCTGTACTTGACGAAATGTATGGATTGACGCGTTGGCAGATCGGTGAAATCGCCTCCAAAATCGGCCAGCTCTATTACCATTTCTAGTATGCACCTCAATTCGCAAAATTTTTGCTTTCAATTCCTCCTCAGTCTTAGGACCAGCGATACTGAGTACCTCATGGAGGCCTCCTCTTTTTTCACCGCCATACGAGAACGCAAGTACTTTGCCCACATTAGTAAGGAGAATCGTTCCGAACAGGCTGTTAAAAAGCTTCGTTACTATGCCCGATTTATCATCGTCTGCCTCTTGTTGAAGAGGGTTAGTGCCGTCCGGGATCTCATTAAGGTAGAGTGTTGACTGCTCAGTAATCCTCCTGTTCATTTAGGAGTTATCCAACCAAATTAACAATTACACTGAATCCTTTGATTTGGTCGAACATGCTGAGTGGAAAAATGTTGTTCAGGAGATCGAGGACTTTATTGACGCGGATGATGTCTGCACCGTTCTTAGCGGTGACTCGACTCCCGTCGTGATCACCAATCGGTTAACGCAGTTCAACTGTCCCGGGTTTGAAAAAGCTATTGCTCACAGTGGCGGAATAAAACCTCTGCAGCTCTCCGAGATCATTATCATCGGCAATTGCTTTGAACAAATCCGATTCAGCGAGATCACTCTTGACATGTTCCGCATCCTCCAGTGTGTAGAGCGCGATCCTCAGGACAACTTCGGTAACACAACTGTCGGTCTACGGCCGCAAAGAAGCCTCGAAAATGGCGATGACTGTGATGCCCCTGTGACTGGAGTTGTTGCCCCTGGCGAACGAAAATGTAAAAATCCGCACAAATACCTTCTCTACAAGCCGACATTCTCGCAGTTCAATTGCTACATGGCTGCGGGATTCAAGGATCTACCAGCTGATGGAGTGCTCCTTCTCTACCTTTCTGCTGATGGCTTGAGATCAGTCAGCAAACCGCAGAATGATCGTAAGCCCCATTTTTTAGTCACAATGTCATACACATTTCTAATTTGAGCGCTTATCAGATATTCAGGATTTAAGCTGTCATTATGGTCATATTGTCGTGTTTTTTGAGCCTGTTCTGAAATTTTGCCCATTAAATCGGACCTTTTACTGGTGTTAAAGACGTTTAATATCCTTACAATCGACGTCACATATACGTGACGTTCCGATTTCCTTCCCCGCGTCTGACATCATGAGTATGTAGCATACCTTCGGTGGATTATGAGTACTTGCGGAAAATCGTGTCGCATTAGTTAGTCCGTTATCTTTTCTGCAGCGGTAGAATTGTTCGGTTCTGCGGTGCCATTGTTTCGGTGGTCAGCTCTTCACTCGAAATTCTGTCAACGCACTCGTCAACTAACTCGAGAGCGAATGTTGCATCTTTGCGTCGACCGAAAGTAACTGAAGGAATGGACTGTTTCGTGAGTGTACTTTCGAAGTAGAAGGTCTTTAACTTCACATGAAAAGCATAAAGCAGTCATATCAACAATGAGGAATGGGCTACTCATTCCAATTTGCCGTCATGCTCTACCTCGCTGCGGGTTTGGACAAGTTCGTTTACATTGAAATTCGGATTCGTCATTTGTGAATGCCTTTTGTCGCCTCGTTGTTTTTTCGTTGATGAATGATGCCATTGCGAGGGTGGCACACAAACACACACCTACGCGCCTCGGTTGCTATGGCGTCTTCACCAGTTGGTTGCTATGCTGTTCCGTTGAGTCTTAGTTTTGTGGGCCAGGGGCTCCGCGCGTCCAGTGCTCTTGACAGAAGGTGGAGTGGAGGGGGTGGGAGCCCTCAGTTGCTATGGCAGCTAGTTCGTGCCTCAGCGTGGCTACGTGCTTGTTACTATGCCGCGCGTTGCGATCCGTGATCCTCTCTAGCATTGCCTTTACCTGACTAACGTGAAGTGACCTCGATTTACCGGGTTGCTATGTGACTTAATTTCCTTCACGGGGCGTACCGAGATCGTGACCCCACTGTGGGCTTTATCAACCTACCCTCCCTCCGTTGCTATCCTGGCAACGACGGGTTGCGCCCGCAATTCTAGAGCAGATTGCCTTCACTGCGATTCAGTGTCGTTAATTTTTTCTTCAAAAGCCTATCATTTAGTAGTTACTACCTCGAAATCACCTATAGGAGGCTAGGTGGCCAAGGTGACTTTACTGTGCGTGGCTGAAAGACCTGACCTGACTGGATTTGATTGTAGACTTGCGAGGCAGCGGCTACGAGGTTGGTGGTGTTGTGACGAATGCCCAACGGGAGTCCACCTCTGTGGTGAAATCGCGCTTCAAAGGTCACGCTCGGGAGCCGCATTGGTAGGTGTTCTTGTGCATCAGGCTTATGTGCCTATCCACCCGTTCATCCCGCATTCATACTTCAATCTATTTCCAAAATCCATATCCTGAGGTCGCAGACTATTTCCTCATGCCGCCTTCAGCGCCCGTCTCGGCTGTCTCCACGTCTGCACCCGCTAGTCGTCCCCGTCAATTTTTCCACTACGGATCTGTCGATTCGCTCTTTCCTTTAATCACTTGACGGTGCACGCCGGTAAATGTGTTGTATTTGCATCCTTAACTAATTTCGCACTTCTTTCTTTAGCATTCACCCTGGCGACCTCTACGCCTACACCCGTAAGCCTCTCTTCCTCATAATTGACAGCGACAACAGTAGCGCTTTCAAGGTATGTCCAGAAGTCGAAAGGCAGAGGAAAAGTTGACTCCATCTAATCCACTTTTGCGTCTCTCCAACAGAACTTCCAAAGTCTTTTCGGCCAACCACTGGTTGCTTTACTCTCACCCGACACTCTTCCCGCCGTCTTCGATAACGAGCGTCGAAAAGGCAATCTATTCACCCTCTTTCTGCACTGTCCGCTGACGGCGTATCTACACGTCTGCGGGCTCAAATCCATCAGTTTGAAGACATGGGAGAGAGCACAGGCCTTGGTGGACTCTTTCATGGGCGAATGTTGTCGGATTTTATTCAGGGCAAGGCATTTAGGTGAGTTTGCTCCATCCATTTATTGACTCGTTCCGACCCTTGCAGTCACTCTTTTGACCCTTCTTTCCTGGTGTACCATCAATTTGGGACATTTGTCATTAGTTCCTATGCCGAGTTGGCCCCGATTACATCTTCTCACCTCCATTTTGCTGCATTTCAGACCCAGGAATGCACCAATTCCTCTTTGTGGACTTCCTCCGTGTCTTTGTCCTCCGTTTCTGTTTCTGCAGTATGGTCTTTCGACTCCACCGCGACTTCCACGACTACCCCGTTTGCCAGCCCCCTCTACCCACTGCCGAGCTGATGGAAAGTTCTTTACTGCAGAAGATCCTCTCAGACCTTGCAGTGCTGGTCGACTCGCAGAATCTCTTTGCCTCAGCAAGTGAGTCACATTGAAGAATTTGGTGGTTGAACTAGCTCTTAAGTGTGCGTCTGATGGCCGTGATAAGGCAGTGTGTCGATCTGGAAGTGGTTTTTTCATTTACTCGTCCCTCCACCGATTCATGCATCTTGTCTGTTTCGGTGGATCCGAAGTTATCTCTTCCCCGTCAACTCCATTGTTGAGATGCACTGATGGTGCCCTCCTCAAGGTGGGTCAATGCTTTCTGCTCTGTGTTGCACCATTTATTTACCCGCTGGTGTCACACATATGTGACATTGTGATTTACTCATCTGAGCTATCAAATGACTCCTCAGTTCATGCTAGCTGTTAGCAGCTTTGACAGCTTTCTCTCTCGTGGATACCTAAAACTCACTTAAATCCAGTCTTACCGCGATACAACTCTTGTGAGCGGTCCATTTTAGACGTCTTCTCCGAGCTACTTTTGAATCAGTAGCCAAACGGTAACCTTTTTTACGCAGTAGGGTTGCGGACCTAGTTGCCGCAGAGCCCGTATCATGAAGTACCCGCATTGCTGATAATGCGCCTGCGCTATCGGTCGCTTTAATTTAATCTTTCTGCTTTTCAACCTTCAAAAAAGGTCTACTCAAACACGATTTCTTACTTCTTTAACCTTTTTTATTCTTGGGACACAAATTATCTACGTCTTTTTTTCTGTAAAAAAAAACGGCAATTCAGACGACTTCTCCCGCGACTGGAAAGCGGAGACTGCGGTGTCTACTCGGTAGAGGCGGGGGAGGAGGACCTCACTCGACATGACAATGTCCCGACATTCCACCAAAAAAAAGATCAAAGCAAGGCGAAAAAATAAGAGCTGGAAAAAAGAAACTGATGAAATTTTACCTCCTACCTAAAACCTGTCCTTTCTGTCAAGATTCTTATTACCTTATCTCTCCATCTAGTCACATTTGTCAGTCTATCCATTCTTCCTGTCCGTCTGTAAATAATGTCCCCATGGCCCTACCGATATTTAAGGTGTCACATTTCTCCTGTTTCGTTGGGGGTGGGGTTTGTGGAAGGCGATTGTTGTGGCCCCTCGAGCGCCAGTTGTGAAGTTACGTTTTCAAACTGTTGGGGGCGGCGCAGTTGATTGGTTCGTGGTGCGGAGACTTCGTCATCTGATTGGTGGGTAATGCTGGGCGTGCTCTTGACCAATTAGGTGGTTAGGCGGCCATTATGGCCGAGGCGTTGATGTGGGTGTGGAGTGCGAACCGTTCGAGTCCAACCGGATGCACTGTTCATTCTACAAGGTTGCGGTCGTGGCTCCGGTCCTCGTGCGCCAGACACAGGCATCCACTCACAACAGCAGTAGACTTCAGGTAATGTCTATGCCTCGCTGGGATGCCCACACGAGTGCTGCAGAACTCTAAGACCACCGGACGGGATGCGCGTCCTGTCTGTAAGGCGTCAATCACCACCTCCACCGTGGCGGTTTCCACCTCACGGGCTGCAGCACAACACAGGTGTCATTCAATCCCCTCAACGAGACACAAAGTAGCGCAGTACTACCGTTCACGAAGATTTTAAAGTCCAGTAAGTCAGCGCAGGCCGAGTGAGTACCATGACAACTGTCCGGTTTCGACCAGCTGTTGAATTAAATGGTTACCAACGCTGTCTTATATGATGCACTGGTGGATGGATGCAAATACGATAAAATCTGTCAAGGTGTCACGACCTTGTTGTCACACCATCTCATCCACCTCCGAAGGCGTTTTTATGATAACTTCAGGAGTGATTCAACACCGTCGGTGGTTGGGGGTCACATTTGACCACCACAGGAGTGAGATATTGACTTATGGGGGGAGGGGGCTCTTGAAACCGTCTCAAACCTTGTAGACTTCCACGACCTGACTTTTGTCCATTGGGTCAGTAACGAAGCGGAGGCACCAAATGCATCCTGGAAGCTATCCTCCAAGCAAGTTTCTTCCTGGTGCGATTCGCCTGTCTGAGCGTCCGAGAATCAGCACTTTTCAGAAAGACCAACGAAAACCGGAGATAAAGTGATAATTGGAAAGGTCTGCTACCTTGCCAACTCGCTCCACTTTGACTTTCTGGGGGTAGGATGCGTTTCTTTAGCCACTCAATTCCTTTGGTCAAAGCTCGATCTCCTAATTTTGTGATCTTTAATCCACACCTCGCGCTCCATTTGAAGTCGTTTTACCACAAGCTTGACATCCAATACGGGCGCCATGGAAAGGCGTATCAGAGAGGTGGATCAAGGAAGTGAGTGGTGGGAGGAGAAAACCTAAATCCTACGGAACTCCATTTTCCCTTTATTTTTTTAGGGGGGGGGGAGGCAATAAATAATAATTATGGCAACGGCCGGTAGGTTAGGGGATGGAATTATTGTCTACTACATTGATTTGTTGATTCTGTTGATTTAGGGGTCTCAAATATCGCACAAAAAGGAGATCTACGAAGCACAGGAACCGAGCGACACCCAAATAAAGATTGCTACTGAGGATATATTAAGTAGCCTGTTTTTTAAGGCCTTTGAAAATCTTTCGCTTGCAAAAACCTGGACATTTTCGTAAATTTTTAAATAAAGCCGGACATTATCAAGCCCTAAGTCAAATAGCGTCAGCAAGCTACAAAAAATCTAGGCCTTAACCACCAATTCCCGTTTACAAAGCCTTGACAAATTAGAAATTAAAAACAAAAATAATCTTACTCCGTAGAATGCACTTTAATGATTCCAACTTCATAATTTACAAGATTTATTGATAAAGTTAGTAGGTGGGTGGAGGATAGGGGCGGAGCGCAGAAGAAAAGGAGGGAAATAAGAAATTATCATTTAGGTAGTCATTGAAATAAATTGTTAATCACAACTAACCACCTCTAACATCAATACACACACACACACACAGAGGATAGAGATTGTAACTAATCCCTCCTCTCAATTCGCCTTATTTTCACCGGAGACATTCGATGTTGTCGTTGTTGCTGTTGTTGTCGTTGTCATCGCGGTGGCAACAGTTGACGTGACAGGATGGCGCGAACTGACCAATCGTTGTCGAGCATTTGTGCCTGCTGCACTACTCAGACAGTCAAACCATCTGGTTGAGAGGAAAAAGGCGAAGGAAAAAAAAATTAGCCAAATTAGGCTACCTTACGGACAAGCAAAAAAGCATATTGTCCAAATCACCAATTCTCACCGTTCAAAAGACGTCTGACTATCGTCACGGAAGAAGTAGACATGATTTTTGAATTGTAACTTGAAGACAAATTCCTTGCGAATATTGTCCTCCGGTGATGGTGTAATAATACTATAGCCTAGGAGGGGTAGACTGGCCAATGGAAAGGTGTCCTGATAGCTCTTGTGAAAGAAGAGACAGAGTTGAGTGAACACCACCCACAATTTCTGCCATCCGTTGCTGTTTTTGAACTTGCGCAGAAGGTAGCCACTGGTTTGGTACTGAAGACAAAAGAAAAGGGAGGAAGAGATAAAAAAGCGCCAAAGAGAGTGGAAGAGAAGGAGAGTGAATAGTGAGGGGAGGGTGGCACTAACCTCATTGGCTCGTAGGATATCAGACATGGAGAAGGTGGAACTTCGATGCCAGCAGACGTGAACGCTGGTTGTGGCTCTGTGAAGAACTTTTCCAGCACCTTGATTGGAAGATGCTACGTTGGTGACCTCTAAAAGGCAAAATAAATCATTTGGCTCGTTTGTGAAACCACGAATATACATCATATGACCTTGATGGCGGAGAGCTCCTTGAGGATCATAAAGATCCTGAGGTCTTTCAAACGCATCTACCTCATCTTCAAAAAAAATAGGACGTGGAAAACTTTGATCATCTTTCCTTTCACATAAAGTGGATGTAGGAGGAGGTTAAAATAAAGAAAAAAGAAGTACCGAGAAGGAGAGAGGTAGCAAATTTCTAAAAGGTATATCAAGTTCCTGTGGTATGGAATTGCGTCCACTAGTAAATCTAAAGAATGAGAATCACCACAACGGAACAAAGA